ACTTTTAAAACATTCTTGTGAGGATAACATTTTCTTACTAAAACATTACACTCATTCTTTTTAGCCAACCCTAATATTGAGTTCCCAAAAGTTTAATCAGCTACATTTTTTTATCAAATAGGCCAATTGTTGTAACCTTGGTGGTGGTGTGTGTCGGGGAGGGGGATGTCCAAAAATGCTATGAAAAAGTAAATGACTACTTTAAATGGTATTTTTTAATCTGAAAAAATGCTTTTGTCAGGAAATCCAACTATATTTGGTCATATGCCATATTACTAGGGAAGATATATACATATATATATTTGGAGCAATATATATTCATATATATATATATATTGCCCCAAATTGATCTTTTATGCCCATTTTGGTTAAAAGTTAAAAGCTGTTCTAGGAATCTTCTCATTGAACTAGATCACTATTAAGGAATCAAAATCCCCTTATGCATTGTGATAACTAACGCTATTTGCAAATGCCCATGATGGTACAGAAGTGGTCAGTTAAGGAAGAATGTATCAGATGAGAGTAGTCCTGGCTGAGTTTAACCTAGGATACTCTGGATTCACCAGAAGCTCAACAGAATGCTGGAATTCGCAGAACATGATTTGGTGAAATACTGTACAAGGTTTCACTCTCTCTTTGACCAAATTTAAAGGTATAAATAAGCAAATGGCATGCCAAGTAACAAATATGAATAACATAACAAACACTTCCAGACAAATATAACTGTCCCTATTAAAAAAGAAACTAATACCAATAACATTATTCTCAAAAATTCCTCTAGTTTTTGAAGAGAAATACAGACTAAATACAAGGTCTAACATCACTTAGATTGTCTTCTATGAAGTTATAAACTATGGTTTTAAATTTGTACTTTGTAATATTATGTCCAGTTTCTAAACTGCAATTCTTCAGTATGAATTTTTTAAAAAGTTCAGAAAAAGAAATGGTGTCAGAACAGTAAAAATAGTAACAATAATGGTAAGAGCTATATTTACTAAATGCCTATTATATTTTTATGTTTAATTATTTAATTTTTGAGAAGCCTCAGTACTGTTTTCCATAGTGGCTGCACCAATTTCCATTCCCATCAACAGTGCACAAGGGCTCCCTTCTATCCACATCCTTTCCAATACTTAATGTCTTCTTGATAATAGCCATTCTAACAGGTGTGAGGTGATATCTCATTGCAGTTTTGATTTGAATTTCCCTCATGACTAGTTATGTTAACCATCTTCTCATGTTCCTGTTGGTCATCTGTATGTCTTCTTTAGAAAAATGTCTATTTAGATTCTCTGCTCATTTTTCAGTCAGATTTTTTGTTGTTTTTATTGAGTTGTATGAATTTTTTTATGTTTTGGATGTTAACCCCTTATCAGAGGCATAATTTGCAAATATAGTCTCCAATTCAATAGGCTGCTTTTGCATTTTGTTGATGGTTTCCTTTGCTGTGCAGAAGCTTTTTTAGTTTGATTATGTTCCCCTACTGGGTTATTTATTCAAAGAAAATGAAAACACTAATTTGAAAAGTTATGTGCATTACTATGTTTGTTGCAGCATTATTTACAATAGCCAAGATCTGTAAACAACTTAAGTATCTATTGATGGATGAATGGACAAAGATGTGGCATATATATAATGGAACACTATGCAGCCATACAAAAGAATGAAATCTTGCCATTTGCAACAATGGATGTACCTTGAGAGTATTACACCAAGTGAAATAAGCCAGAGAAAGACAAATAATATATGATTTCACTTACATGTCATAGATACAGAGAACAGATTAGTGGTTGCCAGTTGGGAGGCAGGTTGGGAGGTGGGCAAAATGGGTAAAGGGGGTCAAGAGGTATAGACTTCCAGTTTATAAAATAAATAAGTCATGGTAATATAATTTCTAGAATGGTGACTGAAGTCAATATTACATTGCATATTTGAAAGCTGCTAACAGAATAAATCTTGAAAAGTTCTTACCACAAGATAAAAAAATTTGTGACTTTGTATGGTGACAGATGGTAACTACTAGACTTATTGTGATCATTTCTCAGTGTATACAAATATCAAATCATTATGTTGTACACCTGAAATAATATGATGTTATGTCAATTCTACCTCAGTAAAAAAGTACTTACCATATATATCAATTTCACAAATTACTTTTTGATTCTCATAGTGATCTATGGAGTTAGATATTTGACATTATTATTATTATCCCCATTTTACAGACAGAAACACAAAAACCTAGAGAATAAATGAGTCCACCTTGAGTTGCAAAAATAATAAACGACAGAATAAAAAATTAGGTATTCACTACCAAACAATGAAGTTTTAAACTGTTTGGGAGGCCCACTCATTGTTTTTACATGCTCTACATGTGTATGAAACCTCAGAAATGTCTCTAAGGAGCCTTCTGAAAAGAAATTATTGTGTCTAAACATTCTCACCTTTCATACGAGAAAACTGAGGCCCCGGGAATAATGTAACTTGTCCAGGACAGTGTTGGTCCTGTCATTTTTTTAACATGGAATTTTGCTGCCTGAAAATGCTTTAAAACCAGTGAACTTGGTAATTATATCTAAGGTCTCTTTCGGTTCTAAAATCTATGTTTCAACCTAGAAATAGAATTGTTCATTTACTCATCAAAAAGAAACAGTTCCACTACACCATGGTTGAATTAAACCACTTTCCAGCATAATTTTGACATAATCTTAATCGAAGAAAATTTTAAGATGGCCTTAATTCTAAAGGAAGAAAATTAAAGGGTCCCCTTCATCCTTTTTAATGACATTTATATTAGGAACAACTTACATCTTCTATGAGTGCTTTTCAGTGAATGAGAACAATTCATGGATCATGAAATCTATTTAAAGATTCATAAGCAGTATTGTCTAAAAATTGAAAGTAACCATAATTGAAAAAAATCTGATAACTGTATTATAAATAGCAAAGGCTAAATATTGCTTCATAGAATCTATCTGCTTATGTAGCTGTGCCCTCAGTTAGGATAAAATATATTTTTTAGCTTGGGTCTCAATCAAAACAGACTGAAGCCACACTGCTAGACCCCCAAAGTATTTTCCACATGTAATATATCTGATATAAAAAAGGTATTTAATTACATCTTGATGATTGACATTTCCAGGATCTATACCTAAAATATTGCTTTTTGTAATTATAATAAAATTACTGTCATACTGAAGAGCCAACTCTACTAAGATATGTAAAGAAATTCTAGGAAGGTAGCCTGATCAACAGTTTTCCCATGAAACATAAACATAAAACTATTTGGGAAGCAACAAACACGATTTTTTAAAGAAGTATCTGAAAGAAACCAGGGCTCCTTGAAGAAATGAAGGCTCCAGTCTGGGCAGAAAAATAAAAGATGAACAGGGAACATCCTACATCTGAAAGCAAAGAAGCTGTCAGAGATTAGGTTGTGTCAAAAGGATGCAGCAGTGAGCTTAAAGGTTTCCTGCGGATCAAAGATGGGACAATTTGGCTTCAAAGAAAGTAAGAACTATAAGAGATTGAAACACAAATATAGAAAAATTCAAGGGTTCAAATAAAACAAAACACTGATCACCTCCATATATTTTTCTAAAATGGGGTAAATAAAAGAATCAAATGTTTTTTTCCTCTTTCCTACACAAATTTTTTATATTTATAATCAGAGAGTTCATGAAGGAAAGCTCTTTGACAGAATTCAAAGTTTTAAAAAAAGATGCAGAACAAATTTAGAAAGTCACCAAGTTAGTACCCCTAATGAAATAATGAGTGGTCAGCAGTAGCTGCTAAAACCACTAAGATATAAAATGGATAGGGAACTTATTAATGGATGGATCAGGCTGGCACACCAGAACCTACTGATCAATTTTAGCATGACTAAAAGTGGGACAAGGCCTCCTCATTGGAAACTAGTAGGGTGCCCCGACCCGCGGGACGAACGTGGAGTGTAGCCGGAGACGCCTGCAGAAATGAAACAAGCAAGGGACACAAAGAACAACCAGCAAGACAGGGTGTCTGATCAAGCTGGCACAGTTTATTGTTTGCAGGCTTAATTTATACAGGTCAGCAAGGAAGGGGTGGGTCAAAAGACAATTGGACCTTAGGTGGCGCCGGCGGGAAGGTGTAGAGGGGTGATTGGGCCTTGGTTGGCGCCGGCGGGAGCAGAGGACCCGGAAGAGAAGCGGGGAGTACGCCATTTTGTGGGTGAGGGCCCTTTGATCTCCGGCAGTAGGGAGCACATGTAATCAATATGAAGTATTGTGAAGTATTTATTGCCTTAGAAGAGAACCTGAATCTAGTCAGTCCTCTAGATTAAACTACCAGTTGTAGGAAAGATAGAAAAAGATGTTTAAAAAGACCACAAAGATACAATCAGCTAAATTCAAAACATGGAAAATTCTACAAGATCTGGTTTCTTTAATAAATAATGCCAAGAAAAAAGTAGATTGCAAATCATTAAAGATTAAAAGAGAAAGACTCACTTAAATGCAACATTGTAGGCCTTATTTGGATCCTGATTTGCACAAATTATAAGAGAACTTTTTCAGAATTGGGACAATTTAAAGAGACAGGATATCAGATAGTAAGGACTTATTTTTTTATTTTGCTAGATGTGATAATGGTAATGTGGTTGTTAATAAAGAAATAAGATATTTTTAAAAATCTATAAAAATAAAGCATGACATATACAATTAGTAGACTGATTTGTAGCAAATACTTTGACATATATATCTAGTCACTTCACAAGAAAAGCACTCATCTTTCTGGTAGACACTGGAATTCCAAATTACTAAAAACACATTTTTAACCAACTTCCTCCTTTCAAAAGAAGGTATGAAGGATAGCTCAGCTGGATAAATGTCAGACATCCAAGTTTTACTTCTGCTTCAGAATGTTTTTTCCATTTAAAATGTGAACTACATACAATACTTTAAAATGTCACAAATATATAAATATAATTATACTATGTCACTATATGTATTGTATTAAAAACTTACAGAATAGCAGAAGTGAAGGACAAACACGTTTCTTGATCTTCTTGAAGCACTGAATTAATTTTCTTCCCTGTAGCTTTACTTATAGATGTCTTCAGTTTCTTGGCTAGTTTTTTTGGTGTGTTGGTTATAGAAGATTCCTCTGTACAGCAGCTATATACCTCCACCTTTACCTGGAAGTCTGGTCCTGCTTCACTACTAAAAACAAGGGCATTCACAACATTAGAAATTCGACACAATAGAAAGTAAAATTATAACATCCTTTTACGTTTTTATAACATTAAAAATCACCATTCATAAAATAGCTTTTTGTTAATATATTTAATATATGTTAATGAGACAGAATCTCCCTGTGTTTATTTACTATCCAAATGACCTGAGAGAGTTACTTCAGCTTCCATAACTACCAGCTTCTAAAGTCCTGGGGAATCTAAACGGAATATAACCAATATATACAGATAAATTACTTAAAGACAGAAGATAATACCCTGGTCATCTTGTTGACAATGTTATTTCTCTTTGTCATTCCTTAAACATAGTTATTTTTAAAGTATTTACATTTTATGTGTGATTTCCTAGGATGGCCATCCCTCCAAAAGAAAAAGGTTTGAAAACAATGAAACAAAAGCTTTCTTTTGCTGAAACCTTTAGTTCTCATTTCTTTTTCATAAAAGTCACTTACTGTCCACTCCCCACTTGCCCTGGCCCTGCCCAGGGCCCACCTTTGTATCTAGTAATTCCAAAATAGTATTTCACTAGTTGGTTATCTAGGGGAAATAAAACAAACAAAAAACAATACAAAGAGATATGCTTCAAGGCATGAACTGCTTGAGGGCGAGTGCTATCTGGGTAATCTTTGTATTCTTAACCTAGTATAAGTTCTCAGTTTGTATTTATTAAACCATCATGTAGAAATTACGCAATTTTAGCAAATGCTAAGACTGGCTTTGCCCTTTTTGAGATATAATGAACTATTCACCATAAAAGACTGTGGTCGTGTTACTAACAATAAAATATACTTAAAACAGCAAAAGAGGTCCGTCAGCAGTAGATGTTGCCTGTAGATGGAAGATCCATCAGCCTCATATATTTTAAAAATGCAGCATAGACTTTTCAAGGTTTAAATGGTCAATCTATATTTTAGATAATCCAAGGAATAATCTCCAGATATTTTTATAGTTTATTTGGCAGCTTTTAAACATACAGTATTCTTGCTAATGACTTACAAACGTCAATATTTACAGAAAAACCAGAGATTCATAAATATTGAATACTTATTACAAATAGTCATAACAAAGAGCACATTTTTAAACATTCAGAACATTTGTCAGCAGTTATTTTTAGAATAATTTAAAATATTTACAGAAATTTAAAAAAATTATAAATCATGTACTGTCTTCTCAAGTAATTTACATTGTTTTTTTCACTGAAAAAAAATGATTTTTGTCTTTGTGGTAAAAACAATAGCAAAATGATATGAGAAAAAGAGCCCATTAACAGGATGATTTTGTCAGGAAAATAAACACACTAGCAATAACTGATAATGTAAATAAATGTATCTAGATAACTAAGAAAGATTATTCTTTTAGTCTTAATTATGTAAGCATTTGATGATATTTTGGGAATCCTAAATAAATTCCTTTGGTTCAACAGAGCTTGTAAGAAGGCCTGCACTATTGTTAATAACTCAGAACAATGCATTTTATTTTTCCATTCTATACAATTATTTATGAGACACTGAACAGAAGCCACAAAACATGGTTTGCAATAGTTTTTTTAATGTTATGTGTGTGGCAAAACTAGTACTCTCAAATCTCAGTTGTACAGCTCCATAGCTAGAATGGCAAAAAATATGTATGTTGATTTTAATAGTTAAGTAGCTTTTAATATGTGGATACAAAGATAGTTGTCTCAAAACCCTGAAATACAAATCACACACTGATTTAGACCAATAGAACATTTGAAAGAGGCCAGAAAAAAATTACTTTAGTTAAAATTTCTATGGCTACCTGAGGAGTTCTTTTTGGTTCTGTATTATGACCACGATAAAATGAGCCTGTAAAAAAGCAGGGGCAATAAAAACAGCCCTGAGGATCACCCAATTTTTTATGGTTTGGGAGTACATGAAATAAGTACACCATAAGAAAAAGAACATCTTGAAATTTTACTAAAGTGCTTTTCCTATGGTACATATTTCAGGACTATCTTATAAATAAAGTTGTATCATTTTAGGTTTCTGTAACTAAATTCTCCTCATAAAACATAAGGACCCATTTTATGCCCAAATTCATTCTGTATAAATAATGCTATAATGGGATTTCATTGTATCCATTGCTTAGTTAATAATTAAACTATATAAATATTTATAAAAATAAAAATTTATCATATCCAATAAGCCTGACATTACTACTACCTAATTTCCATTTTATTTTACACTGGAAAATTTCAAATGCAGAAATGGGCTTCTTTTGAATAAAGTAATTTTCAAACTAAATTTAAACCTTAATGATCTTAATGCTTCAAAAATAAGGCAACCACTCAATAATTGTGCCTTCCCTTACAGGTAGAATTTTAGATTATTTTCATTCTCTTAAAGTTAGAAAAATACTTACAATATAGTTAAATTTTCAAAACATACATCTGTGATTGTTTTATCCACAATCACCATGTCGGTATCAAAAACTTCAGCTCCCATTTTGAATAAACAAAAAATGGCATAGCGCTGTGATCCTAGAAGAAAAACATTTTAAGCAATGTCCATGTGATAAATCATGCCTATATTATGTTAAAATCTACTTGAAAATGAAAAATGTTAGCTTAAGTATTTGTTAATAGGGTCTTATTTTTATACATTGTACACTGTAATCCTTTTTATAGTGTCTGTTCTGTCACTATATATCAATACCTTACTTAACTGGAACACAACAATTAAACCAGGGAACATCAAAAATAAAGCTAAAAATATAGGCCTCTCGGCAGCCTGAAACAACACTGAAGTCATTATTATTCCTAGAAAACTCTCTAAACTGTAATTAACAGCAACTTTATTATATATATATACTATTTACCTCGTCATTTTGGTTTCCAAATCTATTTAGGAAAAGAAATTCTCTGTTATGAGAGGTTAAGAGCAGGCCCGGTAACAACAGCAAAACATTTTCCACCAAGGGAGGAAACCACAGACACAATAAAAAGTAGACATGTGAACACAAAAAAACATAGCTACTGGGCCTTTTACTTGGTGATGTTTTCAAAAAGTATAAGGTGATTAAAGGACAAACTCTTCATTATTGAAAAAAATGTAGCTCTTCAGAACCACTTATTTTCTATAGTAATCAGACAGATCTACTTAATTCCCATATGTATTCCTTTGTAAAATAAATTATATTTCCTAAATGAATAACAATTGAAAAACAAATATACTGTGATTTTAGATTCTTCATATAAAACTAATTATGCTCAATATGATTCAGTTTTTAAAGTATGAGGAACAAAGCTATCAAAATAGACAAGAAGATAAAGGATTATCATCTCTTCTGTTTTGCCTCTAACATGTAGAAATCATTTGAGGTTAATTTCCATGACCTAAGTAACACATGGATTTGTGAAGACTACATAAAACCATAAAATGTTCAAGGTGAAAAAAATCAGATCAAGCTAAAAATCTTTCCCTTCCTATTCAATAATCTGAAGTAACAAAACAAGGTAAAAAAAGTCTCCCAGTTCTGGTCAAATAAAAGAAATGTTGTCTTTACCATTCTCCTTAAACATTTTCTTTTGTTCCACGCTTTCCCTCCCCACAACCCATTACTTACTTTATTACACAGATTCCTATCAACTAAAAGTACATTACATATTCACTATCTTATTTAGTATTAAGCAACTACAACATATTTATTTCAAAAAATCAGAAAAAACAGTTCAGCAAGATTATGATTTATTCTGTCAAATGACATCAATTTATTTCATGGTAGAAGCAGCTTTTTCTCCTTTTTCTCCCAATAATTATGAATTTACTATATACACTAAAAAAATTGAATTACAAATTAAAATCATACATACGTTCTTTATTGCTGAAGTGATCAGAGTCTTTCCACATTAGCGGTATTCGAATATCTATAAAGGAGGGGAAAAAGAAATGACAAGTAATAATTTTGAATAAATTTCAATTCTTAGAGTGAAATGAAGCTCTGAATTCCATGACTCTAACCACTGAAGCCAATAATATTTATTATTTAAATATTCTAACACAGGTGATATTTTTCTCTTACAAACAGCTTAGACCAGAAATAACAAATCTATTACCCTTATTTAAGAAATTTACTAAAAAAAAAATACCCACCAACTATTACTTAATAAATTAATTTATAAGTGAAGTCTGTAATAAGCTTATGCTATAACATTTTCATTTTGTGATTTATTTTTTGAAATAGGTGAATTATGGGGAACCAGTGTTGAATTCCTATTTTGGGTGAGCAGTAGCAGCAAGTGTAGTTACACTTATTGTTCTCTCATTCACACATTCTTCAAACTCTAAAGTAATTGTATTAATGATCTTTATCCCACAAATTAATCTAGAGCTTTGACACAGTCAAAACTTTTCCTTCCCAGTTTCCTCATTGTTTCCCTCTCTTTTAACACTAGGTTACTAGTAGTAACAATTTTCTTCTCTTATCTATATATTTTCAAATCAGAGGATCAAAAGGTGTGAACTACAGCATACAGCACAGTAGAGGTCTCAATGGCAAAATGAAGTTAGTTTTAATTACTCAGAAGGTACAAAAACTCCCGAGTATAAATATCTCAAACCTTTGTGGAAAATTTCTCTAACACTTCCCTATCACACTTAGGAAGTTTATGTGCATATTTGTCATACCTATTAAATATGCCACTTTCAAAAATTACAAATCTTTATGAATATAAGCTGTTTGGCTACATTTATGTTGTGCTTACTTTTAGATGCTATGGTCCTTTGTCTACATTTTTGTTTAGAATTCTTTTTAAGATTCTTAACGCCTATTTCTATACCCTTTCTAGAAAAACTTTGTATTACTCATCCCTACCCTGCCCAACCAGGTAGGCATGTATGAATGCCCCTGCCACAGCTGCCTCAGCAGATATGATAAAAAAAAATTGAGCTTCCCACACGTGTCGAGCTAAAAATTATATACATCTCATCCAACAATACTTCTTAAAATATATTTATCAATAGTCAGGTAACAGGCTTTAATTGTTTAGACCTGCATTTTCTTGATTAACAAGAAAAATGAATACACTTACTGGCTGGTTCAGTGAATCTGTTTCTATCCATGGCCCATTTTTATTTTTTTAACATTGTTTATGTATTGTACTTTCAAAAGTAAATTTTTTAATCTATGTTAGAATTTTTGGTATGTGAGGTAAAGATGTAAATATTCTTATAAAAACAATAGCCCAGCTCCATTTATATATCTACCAGTACTTCTCTTCCTTACTAATGCCATTTTTTATCACATATACCATTCTAAATGTCTATTCCTTGGCTACACGCTTTATGAATCTAATTAAATCATTTATAAATTATTTCTATCCTAATACCAATACCATACTATTATACTATTGAACCTTTGTAATATACTTTATCATGTTAGAAATAGATCATTCCAAAAATACCTTATTCTCAATTGCTAATTTCTTTATATAACATAAAGTTTAGAAATATTTTGTCAAAATTCCCCTTCAAGATGTTCTATTAAAATTCTATTATCCAAATTAATCTGTTAACATAACTTTATAATATTCTGTCTTTACATAGAGTAGCATCATACAGTTTCCCTTATATTTTTTATTAAGGTTATTCTTGGGGATATTTAATGTTTTTGGGTTTTGCTGTTTTACTGTTTAAAAAAAAGATCTTATTGCCACATTTTCTCACTTTTTTGAGAGCAGTTACCACATTTTTGTACATTTATCTTGAATCTTGCCACTTTTACTGAGTTCTTTATTAATTCAAACTTTGCTTCAGTAAATTCCCTTAGATTTTGTACATCTGCACTCTATTATCTTCAATTAGTATTCAGTTTGTCTATTTCTCTTCAGTAGTTTCTTCTTTCATTTTTACTATCTTAGATAGAATTTCTAAAACTGTGTTAAATTATATTGATATAATAGACATTGTTATTTTGTTCTTGCTTTTAATGGGATTGCTTTTACTGTTTTATAATTATGACTTGGTTGATGTCCTGTCAAAGAGCTTGCTTCCTGCTTGACCACAGTTGCTGACTCATTTCATTTCACAACTGTTCTTAACTCACAGCTGTTCTTGTTCTGTTAGGGTGATATATTAACTATTTACACTATCTTGGTAAGAAAATAGACTTTGACTTCCTTTGCTGTATACCCACACCATGTGGGTCAGTCTTGTCCTTTCCATGCCTACCTATGACAGATCCTTAAGAGGAGAAAATGGACATTTCTCATCTATTTCCCAGGTGGCCACGTACTGTTCAGATGGTAAAGGATATGTAACCTACACAGTATGTTTCTTAATTCAGCTTCAAATAGTAGAAATTCCTTCCAGATTTCTGCAAATAGTTGACTCAGTTTTTGTTCACAGTATTCTTACCTTTTTTTTTAATGTCTTCATTGGCACTTTCACAGTAAACTGGAAGAATCACACATAATAGGATGGCTAATGTAATGTTATTGGGTCCTAGAAGTCTATCATTTTCAAAAGTGAAGATTATGGTATTTTAACTGATTTGGCTCTAGTCATAGAATTTAGTAGTCAGTGAATAAACTGAGACAATTACCACAATGCAATTATTTGGTGTTAAGCAGAAATAGTCAGGATACTCCTCAGTTATTCTTTTTTCCTTTAAAAAAATCTGGCCATGAGTGGTGAAGCTGAAAATGGAAAACCCAAGTAACTCCTCACAATCAAGGTAATCTCAGGAACATTATAAAACTTTGCTGCAAATACATTTTGACCAAAACAAAAGTCACATTTTCATCCCAATATCCAAAGAAAATAGATTTATAAAGATGAACTAATTTTTAATTTTCTTTGTTTTTATTTTTTACAAATACACAGATAAGATATAATTAAGTCTAAGCAAAGATGAAAAGAAATTATATCTGTATCCCATTTTCTGAGACTTTCAGTTCCTTAATTTAATTTAAAATTATCTTTTGGAAAGAAGGAACACATGCAGAAATAATTTCTACACTTGAGTGTTTGTGGTCAGGAAAATAGTTTTTTCTCTTACTTTAGATGCTTTTACTTATGCCTTCTTCTAAATGTACAGTTAATGTTAATTTCATGAGTTGCTGCAGTCAAATGATTATGCAATGACAATAGCTATTAACTATCATGCCATTTGGGTCTTCAATAGCAATTTAACATGTCTCATCTGTGTACTGAGTGGCACTACATCAGAAGCAAGAAAGAGAGGATTAGGTTTAAATATTTTTAGAAAATGCCCTTCAAAGATCTATATTTATTCACATTAAAATGTATTGAACATAGTAAACGGCTCTATGGAAAAGTACCACGGTTGACATCAAAAGGATACAAAGAGGTATAAAACATGTTTTATTCCAATCATATAATTGGAAAGATGAAAAAATGAATATAAATAACTACAAAACAAGCAAAATAATTTTATATAGTTGTTATTTTTCTGAAAGAATTTTTTGCTGGGGGCAATTCTTCTCATTTAGGACAATTACATCCTATGTAAAATTCAGGTCTATCTTTCCTATATGAGGACTTTTGTTTATACATAAAGACATATCTAAAAACCGCTCCTTGGGTAAGGAGGCCTGAAATGCAGCAGCAGGCTCCCTGGAGTTAGGAGAAGGCTTTTGGCCAATGAAACAACCTAGTAACTACTCAAGGACTGATGGAGGTCTGTTGTTTTCAAATGTACGGATGAGATAACATTTGTGAAGATACTTCACCTAACTAGCATACAGGAGTGAACCATGTATTTACTTCAATCTGTGGCATCTCCAAGCCATTGTCTTCAGCTTCCTTAACACTTCAGAGAAACTGAGACAACACAGCGTAAGTGCCATCTAGTGGTGAAGGATCTCCTAACTGCACTAAGAATTCAAAGAAGGGAAACATCATTTCTAGCTGGAATAACATGGAAGGCTTTATAGATGAGCAAACAAATCCTAAAGATAATACAGTTATTTCAAGAGCTAACTAGGTGTCAGAAGCATGGGGTGTGTTGATGGAACATGGAGAGAAATGTCTGTCTAAAACAGCCAGCTTATGTATAATTTAGGGGTAGTGGAAGATATGGCTAGAAAAGTAATTTCAGGGTCAGAATGGTAACTGGGGAAAACTGGGTCATTATTCTAACAAAAATGAAGAACAACCATCCATCCAGTCAATATCCACTGAGCAATTACTATGTGCAAGCACTGTGTTAGCTTCTGGGCATATCATGGGGGACAAAATAAACATAGTTCCTACCCTCATGAAACTTGCAGCCTAGATTAACATTGAAAGTATTATTAAAACTTTCAAGCAGAAAAGGAATAGAGAATCAAAGATTTGAGTTTACAGTCTAGCTCAACCACTTACAGGAAGCCATTTAACCTCTAAGTCTAAAGAAAAAGAGAACTACCCTATGCATTTCACCAGACTGCACTGAGAAGAAAATTCATAATATATGTAACATATGAAACAGTTTTCTCACTGTTACAATTCTATAAAAATATGTAGCATGATGAAAACAATGTTATAAATGTTCTGATAGACGTATCCGAAATAAAATGAAGTAAGAGAATATATGCAGGGAATTTAAAACTCCACCCACTCTAGGAAGTTTCTTACAGAATTTATACAGTAATATAAAAATGATGCATTTGTACCATACCTGATATGGCAATCTTTCCCTTACATGCTGTTCGTTCTTTACTTTCAAAATTCACATCACTGTCAAAATGAAAAAAAAAAAATTCTCTAATAATTGTTATAATCTTTCACACATGTCTAAATATTAAAATAAAACACATATCCATGAATAATAATGACTTCCAGTTAATATAAACTACTTGACTCAAATGTTACGATGTTTAGCCATCAGCTAGCTGGCTTTAAGAGAGGTATACAGAGGCATTCTCTGATTTTCCATGTAAGTTTTACATCCCCTTTTGATTATGTACTGGCTTACTCTACAATGAAAGCCTTTTGTGACCACTTACACATTTATAAACAAGATGTACAATATTTGTACAGGTCCCAGGAAGTGTGCTATTTTGGATCACCATGTCATAAATCACATTTCTAACTTACTAGATTATAGTTGCCTATAAAATTTAACTCACTTCCCAACCATGAACTTGCTGCCCAGGAGTAACTTATCCTTATAAAATCCAATAAATAGTAAAAAATTACTCTCTGCTATATATTTATATGAAGTATTATATTAATTTCCTTGAAATTCAAAAACACAAAGCATACACTAAAATAATACATTAAATGGCAGAGGAAGGGAGTGGCTCTGTAAAGAGAATAAAATGTGGAGGAAAATACTATTATCACAATAGAAAAAGGCAACAAAGGAAATTCTTTGAATATAAGACATTTCCAGATCTGACTTTAGAATATACTACTACCCATTTAAAAAATTTTCAAAATAGTTATTTCCTATTAGACCTACTATCTCTCATCCTTGAATATTTCCCTAATATCCTATAACCTGAATTTAGAGATTAATTATGTCATTTCTAAAGCAGTATTTCCTTTCTGTCCTTTTTTTTTTGGTTTCTATTTATTTTGGCTAGCTAATTAGCTGCTGGCTAATTTAATTAGGTACTCCAAATATGTGATAAGATAGAACCTTTTCATGTGAATACTGTTCGATTCTAAGAAGGCTTCCGGAGAAAGACTGGGTGAGAGTTTGAGGTGTATTTAATTTTCAGAAGAGTATGACACCATCTCATAGCCTTATTAAAAAGATTGCATATACATCATTATCATGTATCCAAATTTGAAAAAAAAAGTATCAGCTTACTTTTCCTACTTTCTTATGAATTAAGCAAGTAAACATCACTATTATAAGTGAAATATATTCCAAATTAGCTAAGATAATATACTGATGTACTTAACTTGATAAGTATGCTTGGGACACTTATATGGCATTAATAGAATTGCACACTAGGTATAACTAAAGTAATGTAGTAAACTTAAAGCTATAAATTCCCAGGATCCTATCTAATTACATCAGTATTTAAGTTAAAAATAGGGAATTCACTATGAAAAATAAAAGCACTCAATGATTATTTTAAACTAATATTTTGTCAAATCATAAATTTTAAAAAAATCAAGGTCAATATTTTATGCTCAAGTTTAATTTTTCATGTTGGAGAACATTAGCTTGCTTATTAGTTCATTATAAAATAAAAAATTCAATTAGTGAATAGTCTATATTTTGGTGAAAATAATATAGTAAAAGACACTAGAAATTTTAAAAATCTTTATTTCTTCAAATTAGTACAAGAAATACAACATAAATATAGTTGGCTGGCATTTTCTAAAAACACCTTCTATACAAGCAATACATATTATTAATTCTTAAAATACTTATATTAGTGAAAAATAAAATTTTTATTAAAAAAATACAAGCTCTAATATGGTGAGTAACTTGAGTATTAATAAATAGGTCATAGACATGCTGAAATTGAGATCCATTAGGTATTATTAAATTGGATTAAACTTGACACTTGGTGGGCAAGTGAAAATCTGAAATACTAGAACCACCAAAAGCAAATTTGCTGAATATTTATCAAAAAAATTCTTCCTCTTCCAGAGTATTCAACCATCTGGCAGAGCACAGCTTTCTTCCCTGTAATTAAAAATTACTTGCACAGGCATTTCCAGAACCAGTCAACAAACTTATTATATACAAATATTATCAAACTGTAAAATAAATATAATTAACCATACAATCTTAAAGAACCTTAAATAATTAAGTCTGTCTTTAAAAAATGAGATGAACTGACTGTTCAGCCTCATTTTCCTGAAGCTTGAATTATTTTCAATTCAAATAACTCCTGAAACAGTTAAGGTGTTAAAATGTGATGTTTTTCTAATTATTTCAAAATTGACAATAAAAATTGTTAAACATTACCTGTTTAATAATGTGCTACTGTAGCTAATAGTTTGCTACAGTTAAACACTTGCTGGAAAATCTGCAGAGTTAATGCCAATTCTAAATGCTACAATTAAAGAGCCAGCCTGAGGTAAAGGCAAACAACCACAAAATTATATAAACAAAAGTACAGTTAAATAATAGCATACCTTATTCTTATGAACCCAGATTTGAATATTATTTTGGTGAGACTGGTAAATGGAAAAGATAGAGATAAAAATACAAAAGATCGGCTTTTAACTTACTTACTTATATTTCTGCTTGTAGGTAAATAAAATGACCAACAGAGGGTGCCAAGAAGCCACTCTGTTGCTCAAAAGTCTGTATCAAAATTGATTGAGTAAATACAGATTATCCTATTTTATATTGTTCCATATGGGAATTTAAAATAGCATTTCTTGGCCAAAATTAATAAGCTATAATAAGATAGGATACAGCACAACGATGAAAGTATTTTATATTTTCTTAATGAAGTACTAAGAGAATTCTAAATGAAATGTTATTATTTGAAAGCAGGTTATAAAATCCTTCATCTTTTATGCAAATAAGTGAAAACTAAAACAAGCAGAATGTTTAACATGGAATTTTAAACCATCCTAAAATTATGTGGTATAAAATAATAATAACTTCGTAAGTATCTAAAATGGGGAAAATGAAATTTCTATTTTGATCTTGACATTACAAACTCTTTTCAATAGACACCAAACAATATAAAGCTTAAAAAATAAAATCAGTAATGTCTTTAATATACCATGTTTTATTGTAGAAATACAGGAGTACATAATTTTTCACTTGCAACCTACACTTATCCTTTTTTTAGGTTACATGACTCATTGTAAGCAATGAACTAGGCAACTGGAGTATAAGAAACTATTTTGTTATTTTGGCATTATTAAAATCACAATTATGTTGAATGAGACACATAATTAGGTCCTATGAATTAAATGACTTTGATTGCATTATTTTTACAAAGCCAAATAAAGTATTTCAGTAGTTGACAGAGGAGATACATTGAAAGGTTGGGGCAGGGGAGAATGTTACTCCTAAAGTGTAAGCTCTGTAAGTCTAGAAATTTTTTAATTTCTTTTGTTCACTTAAAAAATCACCAGTGCTTGGTATATAGCTCCATACATTCTAAGGCCCTCAATAAATGTTTAGTGAATACTGAATAAAGTGAAATAGGATATGGTCATTTTGATAGAACAGGGAGTAGTTTTAGTAGATTCTGACTAAACTCTAAGGTTTGAATCTTACACATCAATAACTAGCTATGTCAATGAGTTGCTGTTAGCCTATTAACCTCAGCATCCTGAGGTTAAGCAGCTATAAAACGGATAATGATCTACCTACCTCATAGCTACTACATGAAATAATAGTGTTAATACATTCTATATCATTCTTAGAAATGTTACACAAATGCAAAGATTACTTTTTGAGTATATTTTTGGCCTCAATATTCAACTCAGAGCTTATTTGGAGGAGGCACTAAAACATTTACTAAACTGATCAGAGTATGACCTACAGTTCCTGTACCATAATGGTAGCCACCTAAATTGGAATCTCTTCAGGCATCCTACAAAAGCTTTCAGATCAACAAGGAAAGCAAATAAAATCACCTAAAGCCAACACCTGTTAGACAGAAAAATAGGTATGAGTGGGATGGAAAGAGAATAAGGCCCATAAAGCCCACTTAAAAGGGACTCAAAGAGTTAACCAGTTAAAACTAGAGAGCCACAGACTCACAGAGTTAATGAGTTAATCAGCTGAAGCTCTAAAGGCCAGGAGTCACTTGGAATATCTGGATATTCCCCAGATAAAGAAAAGTATCCCAGCAGAGCCCAGGTCTTCATTGTGTCAATTAGATCATGCCATTGTAAGATTGGCTTATTCTTTAACTTAACCTATATGCTATTTTTTTCTCTTCCTCCAGCCCCTAATCAAGTAATTTGCAACCCAGGCAGGAGACAAGCATCATGATTAATTTTCCAAACAAGCCCAGATATAAACAGCATAGTAAAAACAGGAAATATTCCATCTTAAAGCTAAGATTGCATTTAAAAACCCAGGAAGTTAAGAAGTAAGATTCGAAACATTCTTTAGCAAACAGACAATAACTCAGTCCACCTTGGTAGCAGGGCAGGTGATCTTGATTGATATGTTCCCAGAGGGAAGCTGCTAGGAGGAATCATATCAGTAAATTTCTTGTGTTAAGTCAATTTTGCAGAATTACCTGGAGGACTGATGACAGAAGAGAAGAGACTTAATGTCTCTCATCGAAGATAAATATCTTGAGACCACTTTTCAAGTCTACACCCCCTAGCCCTTTGTCACATTCCTGAAAAATCCTTAAAAGAGGGAAGCCCCATTTTCTCAGGGCACACCTCCTCTGAGCTCGCCTGCACTTTTTCTCAACCTTTCGGGGCATGACTCTCTCTGAGGTTGCCCACACTTTCTCTCTTTAAATAAAACTTAAACCTTTCAGCACCTCTTCTCTGAGGTAGCCCACACTCTCCTTTCTCCAGGTGTGTACCTTTTTGCCTTAAATAAAACTTTTTCTCAATCTTTCACGGTGCAACTCTGAGGTTGCCTGTACTTTCTCTCTAAGCATATAACTTTAAATAAAACTTTTACTCTGCTTCACTGCTGGGTCTCTTGCCCTTCAATTCTTTGTGTGGCAGGGACAAAAATGGAGGAAAATAAACAATGCTCCTCAACACACCTACAACATAACTAGAAAGCACAGACTACTACACACTTCAATTTATATCTAAGTGGGGACATT